CGATGCATTAACTGTTGACCCTCTGTGATCCCAACCACTTGAACGCGATCGCATTGAACAAATCTCTTATCCCTCCAGTTGCTTATATGCGATCGCGACATCACCCCCGCGATCGCGTTGAACAAAATTTCTGCAACACATAGCTGGAAAAACCTGCAACCTTCAAAGGCCGAAATTGGTCCGATTGACCATCCGAAATCACCCCGAGGCCCCCGGGACCTCAACCAAAAGTGCCAAACCATCTTAAAACATCATTAGAACTTGCTCAAATCATCAAAACACCACAAACAACACCAAAACCATCAAATTACATCGGATTCAAGCCTAAGTTCTTCTAAAACTTCCGAAACACGCCTTCGATCAAAAACCCGACCAAAACACCTCCGAATGACCTGAAATTTTGCACACACATCCAAAATCACCTAACGAAGCTACAACAACTCTCGGAATTCCATTCCGACCCTCGAATCAAAATCTCACCTATCAACCGAAATTCGCCAAAATACGAACTTCGCCAATTCAAGCCTAATTCTACACCGGGCCTCCAAAATGAATTCCGATCACACTCCTAAGTCAAAAATCAACCCCCGAAGCTAACCAAATCACCGAAAATCACATCCGAGCCCTCTAAATCTTAGGTCAATATCCGGTTGACTTTTTCTAAAACAAGCTTTCCTTAAAGAGACTAAGTATCTCATTTCCATCCAAAACCAATCCGAATCTACTCATTCACCCGAGACTCTTGTAATAAGACATAATGAAGCAGAAAATGAGGAGAACGGGGAGGTAACTCACGTGACGATGGGCCGGGTCGTCACAGTGTCTCTTTGAAAAGCCACCAGGTAATTGGAATTGGTGTAATTACTAGGGTAGTAATTACATAGCTTAGTAATTATACAGTTGTGTAATTACGACGGCCTGTTTGTTTGTCATAGTGTAATTACAGTGTAAGTACAAGTTTACTGTTTGGTTGCACAAGTATAATTACACAGTTAGATTAAATTTTAAATAAAATAATTATCAAAACTTAAAAGTTTATATAATAAATATATGCCTATAAAGTTTTATAAGTATAAATGATATTATATTTGGCATTTAAAATGTATATTTTTTCGTGTATATACATTAATTAGTAATCATATATTTATAACTAATATTATAAAAATAATTTATATATATATATTTCAAATTAATAACATTTACTTTTGATACTTACAAAAACTAAAAATATACGTCTTGTATGAACATCATGGAATTCATGTATGGTAAAATAAATTAATATTTATAAATATAATATCATAATATTATTCAAATGTTTGACAAAACTAATCTATCAATCCTAACTAAAAAATGAATAACATGCAATGTGAGCCAATACTACTAAAACAAGCAAATTGGAACCATGAATATTACAATTTCAAAATTCAAAAAAAAAAAGTTTATTTAACATATGTCAAATTCCAACATAATAATAGTAAGTTCCACTACAACTTAAGATTAGGAAACGTAATAAGTTTATAACCACATTCAACAACGAAAATCCACTTTAATTGCATCACTCATTATATGCCAAGTTTGTTAATGACTCATTATTTTTAATATTAGGAGGTGTAGTTTCAAAAAATAGAATAATAAAGTTATATAAAATATAAGCAATTACATTGAATTACAAGAAGTAAAGGTAGAGAAATAAAAAATAAATAATGTACAAAGAAAAATATATTTTAAAATTCCAAAAAAGCAAAAATAAGATTAATAGAAATAAAAATTTATAAGGAAAATAAATTAAAATAAAAACAAAAAAGAAAGAAACTAAAAAGCAACCTTGTAATTACACAGTGTAATTACCACCAATTCTCACCTCCCCCTTGAGAATTGGAGAGTGTAACTACACCCCTCCAATTACACCCAATTCCATGTTGACCAAGTAATTACTTGTCCAAACAAACATGACAAACTGTGTAATTACATCCAATTACACCCAAATCCATTTCCAAGGTGGCTTTCCAAACAAGCTCTAATCAAACATGTTGAGTACACTCAATGGACTTTTTAACCTTTTGAAAAAGTTTTGGGTTTTGGATTGATCCAAAAATGACTTTCGAAGTGTAAAATGAAGGAATTTTTACCTCCTATAGCAAAGGTTAAACACCTTATTTTTTAAATAAATACCATTTAAAAAAATTATATTCTATAGATATCTTTTAATGTTTATAGCAAAATATCTAATTTTGGTTACCTCCTACCCCTAAGCCACTAAATACGCTATTCAGTTATACTATTTTCTTTCTCTCTCTACTTTGATACATGCCATTCTCCTCCCTCATTCCCTGAAAACACGATGCTCAATCTCAAAATTCCTCTCACCCACATCACCTACCATTAGTCACCCTTCCCAAATTTCAATTTGTCGAGTACCCACGCTCTCTTCTCTCTACTTCGCTAGGGTTTCGATACACGGTTCCCATTTTTCCACTCACTATGAATCATCTCGATCCAGTAGTATTCCATCTAGGGTTTCGTCAATCTCGATCTGCAAATGGCATCTTCAGCGGCAGTTTCGGCGCCCCTTGCTGCTCCTTCATTTAAAACCGAGACAAATTCCTCTCACCCATCTCAAAATTTCCGTTAATATATTTCAATGTATTTTCAACGTATCACGCTGTATTTTCATGTATTTCATTATATTCATTGTCTTGTTTTTTCATTGTAATTCAACGTATCTCGCTGAATTTCATGTATTTCATTGTATTCACTTTTTTTTTATTGTATTTCAATGTATCCCGCTGTATTCTATATATTTTATTGTATTCACTGTCTCGCTATATGCCATGAATGTATTCATATGTTTTTTAATTAGTATAATTTATGTATTTAGATGTATTATATAGTTTCTCTGAAGATTGTTATTTTTTGGGGGTATTTTTCGCTTGAGAATCTTTTTTATAACTGGAAATACAAATTTTGTGTGTTATAATTGAGTTTGTTGAGTTATATTAGGAGTCTATTATGTTAATTGATTCACTTTCCGTTTAAAAACAGTGTAATCCCCTGTTTCACGCCGTGAATACAGTCGAATACAATAATCTGTCCAGCTGTAATCCCATGTTTCACGCCATGAATACAGTCGGATACACTCGAATACAACAACTGATTAGCTGGACTTCCCTGATTCACGCCTATTTTTGCTATTGTATTCATGAATACAGTAGCTTAAATACATCTAATACATCTTATAACAACAAAAAACATATCTACAATCCGTAATGTAGCAAATGGTATCTATAGATAGCTAATTACCACTAAAAGATAGTGCTTTATGAAAATTTCTCTAAAACGAAACAGGTAAAAATAGCACGATCTAGCCAGTTTTCGGATTGTTCATTCAAAAATAGCCAGCATTTATGAAGTCAATGAAAAATAGCCACTATTTTGCTGCAACAGAAACCGGTCCAGCATAATATACTGGAGTTCGGTGCACCTGTGTATGAACTTCCAACATATTATGCTGGAACTCCAACACACGGAAAGTTCCAGCATAATATACTGGAGATTCGAGCACTTGTGTATGAACTTCCAGCATATTATACTGGACCGGTATACTTTGTTGGAACTCCAGTATATTATGCTGGAGTTAGTGTACTTATGCTGGAACTCCATCATATTATGCTGGAGTTCCAGCATACTTATCCTGGAACTCCAGTATAATATGCTGGAGTTCAAGTATACTTATGCTGGAACTCCAGCATAATATACTGGCGTAATTTCCGGGTTTTGAACAGTGTTTTCGCTCAGATTTATCTTTACATGAAAAGTGGCTAAATTTCGATTACTTTTGAAACTGGGCTATTTTTGAACGACCACTTGTAAATCTGGCTATTTTTGAATTTCGATGCCATTTGGATTTAATAATGTATTCATTTAGTTTAGGAGGATATCCTATATAGGTGGAAATGTATATTATCGCACAAGAGTAGCAAATTGGCCTCCCCCTGTATCATTATCAGCCCATACGCCTATAAGGACAAACAAAAAACCAGTTCTTTTATTTGTCAATACCAGATTGATTTCAAGTTGCACCTTCCCTTCCAAAGTCCAAACTCGATATATACTTCAAAACAATAAAATCACTAAAAATATTGTAAGGGAGAACTGAGAGAGTGACATGAAGGAGAAGAAAAAGAGTTGCGAGTTGTGTGGGAACCAGGCAAAAATGTATTGCAACTCTGATCGAGCCAACCTTTGCTAGGATTGCGATGCCAAGGTTCACACAGCCAACTTTCTTGTGGCCAAACACAACAATGTACCAAAACATCCAATCACAACAATATACCAAAACATCCAAAAGTTAAGAAGGCAAGCATGACGTCCTCCGTAACAGAACCGGGCTACCCTGATCTCTTCTGCTGCTTTGGTGCTGCATCAATTACAATCCATTTCCAGCTCATGCGGCTTTAAATTTTAGATAGTTTACTCTCTAATTAGATTTGAGCGTTTTAGCTTCTCCAGTGTACATGATTGTTTCTTGTCTGAGTTCTCACCAATTATCTATAATTTAGAAAAGAAAGTGAAGTTTGAAATGAATAAAGCATGTCTGATCCATGACATTTTTTTTTCAAATCTTCAAAGGATTTTGAATTAAGAATATGCCCAAAGGAGAAGCGTTAGCCGTTAGGTATGTATGTATCCCCTGTAGAGTCACTGTTTATCCAAAAATTATAATGCATGGTTCCCCTCTTTAAGATTTAGTATGCGGAAAGGGAGAAATATTCTGCAAAGGCATAGAGTAAGTGAAGTTGCAGGCATATATTGAACTGGGGAACTTTAAAATAACAAAGTTTTGAAGATAGAATGAGGGACGGTGTTATAACTTGCGCTTTTGGCTTCTACACATGTCGCTCATCATAGGCAGTTAGTTCCTTAATATAGTTTTAGAGACAACTCCTTTATATATGTATCTATCCCTTATTTTCGGACAATGAGAGGTCCAAATTCCAATATAGCCAGTCAAACATGCTCAACATACCTTGACACACTAAACATTCTATCCATACAGACAATTTTAATGCATGACCAGATTTGGAATTGGATAAACAACACAAGCATATAGTCGACACATTATAAAAGAGTTTAGATTGCACCGCAAATACCTAAAGGCAATCAAGTAAAAACACTCAGCAGATGACAACCAAAACAGATACAATCATCAACTGGAGACGGTAATAAGTTGATGTTGAGAGACACAAGCTACCACAATTCATTTACATAATATGACTCCAGGCATCACAAAAGGCCTAATCAAGGAAGCTGGTCAACACTAATGCAGCCGAGGAAAGATCTAGTCCAACTTCACTATGAATCTGCCACAAAGAAGCGGGAGTATCTTAGCAAACCACAAGAGAGGTGAGAATAATTTTTCCAGTAGAGAAAATGGGCAGTAATAACAATCATAAAATAATGGAGTTTAGAATTTTGAGGAAGTTACATACTCCACAAACTAATTTATATGAAACACGAAAATCAAGTCTCTAAAGAGTATCATAGCCAAGGATGTGTTTAACCAGGTTGGAACTCTGCAAGACAATCATATTAAAACCTCTTTTATTCTTAAACAGAATTTCACATACTCAGTGAAGGAGTTAATGCAAGTTTGGAGATTTGAATCAAATGCTTCAGCTGTTGTTTCCCGTGTCAGCTCTACTAGAGAATAAAATTCAAAAAGATAAACTGGTAATTACTTTAAATATGACACACTAACTTAAAGAGCTATGCGAAAACATCATAAACCATGAAACAAACACATAGTTTCTCAAAGAGGACCAGTATAACTTCCATACTTGCCATCTCTTCAATAAGTTGATATTATATAAAATGTGCGTAAATATGACATATATTGGTCCCATTCATTTTATTTCATTAACTCCTTGATTAAAGCCCAGGTAGGGAGAAACCCAAATGAAACCATCCAAATGAAATAAAAACACCCAGTTGCCATTTCCTGAATCAGTACTGAGATACTTAAAAGTGCTGAAGCTCACTTTCTATCATAATTGTTAGAGTGCTTCTAACCCCAAATCTGACGGATTAGATAAGCGTCAAAAAATCTATACCACTTTCCACAATGAAACAGGGGATCTCTGGCTTAGCCAGCATATGCAACATATGGATCCTTCATCTCCCATACCACCCCAAAAAAAACTCTTTACCATCTTCATTTAAACTTTTGCTTTCGCGAGTAATCATAAAGTATGCTAATAGTTCCATGCAAGTATGTGGATCATAAGAAGAGACGCATCAAGAAGACTAGAGCAGCGCAATGGCATTGGGTTTTGCTCACACCTGGAAGTGCCAAATTCAAGCATCATGTCGTTTGAAAGACAAAAAGGTTTTCTTTATTTTGATAAGAGCAGTTTTAAAGACTAGTTCAAGAAAGTAACTCTGAAATTTTCGTCTAAACTATCACATTCACAATATTTTTGTTTTTATTCCTCTTTTTCCTTTTTGTACTGGGATCAGTTCACTCATTTAACACTCATTGAATACTGGCAAAGAGACTTCGCCACCAGAGACACTCTAAAGCTATGGTTAAGTAACACTTCACTAAACAACTTATGAAAACTACAACACTGCACGCCATGACCAATGCACCTCCAAAGTCCAAACATCTTTCGCAGTGTGCCCCTAAGTAAGGCTAAGTGGAGAGAACTTCTTCACCTATGTGGTCTTGGGTAATGGATTGGATTCAACTCAACGGATAACTCCAACCTTTAGTTATTTTAGTGGCCATGGAAAAAGGAATCTACTTCCAATTGACATTCAAATCCTAGTTCGTAGGACAAATTAAGATTAAGCATCCAAGGAACACTTAGCAAATACAGACTAGGTTAGAGCTTAAAATCTTATTTTAATGATGGTGCCTGGTCCAGCTTGCACGCAGCTCGACTAATTCTACCGAGTACCTACTACCTCCCACCAACATATGTATTGGATAACTCTGCCAACCAAGGCTGGGGCAAATGTAGGATCACCTAGTATTTTTTTCCTCCTTTGATTTGAACCTGAGACCTCATGGTTCTCCCAAACTTCATTGACACTAGGTCACACCCTTGGGGGCAACTTAAACCTAATTTTTCAAAAGGTTTAGAGCTTAAAGACAAATACAACAGCATTTAGCAACTTAAAACAGATTGGCTTTAGGGTTCAACGGACTTGACTGATAGCATCCTAATACAGGCATACTGAATGTTGTTCTTCCAGAACTAGGCACCAGATTGACTACTATTTCAAAAGAATTCCTTTTCACATTCTGGTATATTAGGACCTTAGGTTTTTTTTCGTTTCTTTTTTGCGATCAAGCAAAGTAGAATTTGGAACCCTAGGTTCTGATGTACAGATGTCGACAACAGAGAAAACAAGCCAAATTACATTTTCCCCCAAATCATAATGAATATTAGATTTCACAAAAATTTATCCATGAATCATAAAAAAATTGAGCTCATCCTTGGCAGCAATTGCAGGATTAAAGAAGCATCCATGCCAAAATAAAAAGGAAATTGTATGCCGATCAGGAAAATCAATAGGAAAAGATGCATAGTTTAAATATATTGAAAGATAGAGATGGCAATGGGGTAGGGTGAGAGTGGGGCAGGGACACCTTAGCAGGGTGGACAAACTAGTAAAGGGCTGGGAGGGGAAAGATTTCAATATCTTCAGTTAGAGTGGAGGAAGGGGCAAGGCTTAATTTTGACTTCAGTAACTCCATTTACTTCCTTTCAACTTCTCAATTGACTACACTCACACGTAATTGGACTTAACTATTCTATCTGTCCCAATTTATACGACGCTAGAACTATTTTGGAGACTCAGAAAACATTTCCTTTGACTATAAATTTCTCAAAGGTCTTTCTTAGGAGTAGTATTTTTTATTTTCAAAATGAGTTCATTGTAGTACTAAATTTATTCTCAGAACACGGAGCAATCACTTTTTGATATCAAGCAGAAAATTAACAAGAAGTTAGCTTTGTACTCATAACCTGATCAGTTACATTGGGACCAAGGAACTGTGAAAGAACAAAAATGCTAAAAAAAAAACAAGCTGACGGGTTGCTATTTTACACGAAGATCATCAAAAATATATTAAAAGACTTAATAATGAAAAAATTAAGTAGCAAGAATAACATTCCATAATCCAAATTAACAAAAAAGAGAAACATAAAAAGGTGTAACAAGGGTCATACCTTTTCGATGATCAGAAGCATCATGGTACTCAGCGTCCTCCTCATCTTCTTCAGCAGCTGATGCAACAGAAACCACGGGCTCAGCAACAGCATTTGCACCACTATCCTTATCATCCGGGTACCTAACAACCACAACAGGACAAACACAATGCCTCACACAATAATCACTAACACTTCCCAGTCTTCCATCGCTTCCTCTCTTAGTAGCCCCAAAACCTCGGCTACCCATAATTACAGCGCTAAGCCCTAGCCTCTCCACCTCGAGACATAGCCTTTCCCTCATATCGTGATCCTTAACGATGTGGATTTTGAACGGAATCTGAGCATCAACTAACGGCTGAGATATATCCGAGGCTTTAGTAGTAGTAAACGTGTCGAAATCATCCTCCAGTTTTCGTTGAGACTCTTCGTTTTCGGTATCAACAATGGAGAGATCGACGGAGCCCCAATCGGCGCCGTAGAGGACGGAAGTGGGACGGACGTGGACAAGGATGACAGCGTCACCTGGACGGAGGTACTGATGGACGGCCCACTTAACGGCGAAAGCGGATTCGTCGCTTAGATCGACGGCGATGCCGATCTTGCGTTGAGCACCGGCGGTAGGGGTATCGGTGGTGGAAGGAGTGGTAGGAGGCGGGAAACGAGGGGAAGAGGATTTGATTTTGATGTTGGCGAGGCGGGGGAGATCGGAATCGGAGGTGGGGGTTGGTTGTTGCTGCATTTCTTTTTGGGGAATGTTTGGGGGGTTTGAGTTGACCTTTGTTTGAGAGAGGGTTGATGCTTGTTTATCGCTACAGCTTATGAGAGAGTTATATTCCTCTTTTTGATGTTGATGATGATCATCAAGGAATAATAGACAGCGCTGAATACTGAGAATGTGTTTTCACTTTCGACTTTTGTAGAGAATTTCAAAAATTCTCCTTTTCTTAGCACGAGGTGGACGTGCCGGAGTGGTTATCGGGCATGACTAGAAATCATGTGGGCTCTGCCCGCGCAGGTTCGAATCCTGCCGTCCACGTTTTTTCATACTCTTTATTTAATTAACTGACGGAATAACGATAATGGATATTCCTTTAGGGGTCGTTTGGTTGGAATATGATTTATGACACCGGTATAACTTATACATGATTTACTAACCAAACAGAATATTAAGGTGGTATTAAATTTTTATACCACCCTTATACCTCATGCCAAACGATCCCTCAGTAGGATGAATGAATTGAGACTTGACGCGTTTGGGTGACAATTTTGCCCAGATAATTTTGTTATGAAATGTATAATAATAGAGAAAAGGAATACATAAGATATTTGGATGGAGGTTATAATTCTACAAATAGTCAAACTAATGATGAACATTAGGTTCTAAGTCTTTGAGATGGTCAAATAGTAACAAGAAGTCAATAAGGCTTTCTAGAATCAATATTTTTCTTTACATTATTGTTGTAAATATTGTTTGAATGTTTATTTGGGTTTTGTAGGCTAAATCCAAAATATCGTTGTACAGTACAATAATTCCCAAATTGTTCTAGAAACTGGATCACAAAAGAAGTCTGATACTTTTATTCGATAGCATATACATTCCCTGGCCCCCTCTAGAAATGTTTGGCATGAATACTTTGGGTTGTTAGTTATCCAGTTTTACTCTTCTAATCCTATACACTAACTTTCTGCGACAGAAAAATCAAAATATATACCCACTTGTTTCTCAAACAAATACTGCAATTAACTCTTTTGTGTATTTTCTTTAACAATCTGCTAATTAAGTTAAAATGAATGAAATACAATTATGCATAATTCAATCACTAAAATCCTGAAAAGGCTTCCTTTTAGGTTGGACCTGCCTCGGAAAACTGATTTTCACTTGCTTATAAAGCATTTCCAGAACATTATGCTTATCATGGCTTCGTTTCTTTTCTTGTTTACTTTTCTCAAGGCTGCCTTTTGAAATAAACCATTCTATTGCAACCAAAAGCACAATGAATTTGGTCAATGCATTAAAGGAAGAAATGAAAGTAATTAAGGTGTAATATGTTTAGGCAGAAAGACCTTTAATGTTAAGGAAACTACAATTTTTGTGAATTTAGACTAACCGAAAAAAATGTTATGAATATTAGTTCAAAGGGGTAATTGAACATATAATGTCATTTGAAAAATATAACAGTAGTACTTTTCTCAAGTTTTAATACGAGGAGGTTCGTATGATTTCGAAAAAAACATAGGTCAGGCACATATTAATTACACATAAAAAATTATGAGCATCCAATAAAAATAGGAGTTAATTTCTATAATTACTATAAAGAAAACTCACATTATTAGTATATTTAACCGATTGTAACAAATAATTCATACTATTTTTTAGGTTATTAGCTTCAATTACTTAGTTATGTTTTGGGTGTTACATAACTTTTCAACGTGTGTAAGGTTAAAATAGGGCTTGCCCGGTTTTGCCATTTAATCGAGACCAGGGAATCACGTCGAGGGTCCGCCTCGTAATGGATCAGGCCAGGGCACGAAGATAAGGTATCAGGCTCAAGAATCGAGGTGCTCGCCGAGGTCGAGGCCAACAGCGATCGAGACCAAATATGACTTCGAGTTTAGCGCAATAACGGAGAGGCGAGATATCCATAACCGGTCGAAGATCACGGTGAGAATCCCGGAACAGATCAAATCAAGGGCGATTATTTATGCCAATCACGGGATTTACTTCTGTAACTAGAATTGTACCATAGATAGGATTCCTCTACTATATAAAGAGGATTCTGATCACTTTGTAGTTTGTAATCACCTGACACTGACATAGGTCAAAGCAATACAACATTCTCTCTTTAATTTACATTCTCTTATTTATCAGCTCGTTGAATTTTAATCATTCTTGCATAACTAGCTCGAGGGTATCCAAGCTCGAGGGCTCTGTCCAAATGCTGGTTTGCTTTATATTGTTGTCAATTTCCATCACTTATCTTTACGTTTATCAATTGGTATTAGGTGAGATCACGTATCCTCAAAACCACATTATAAGTTTAATTGTTATCCTTTTTAGGGTAAACAGTTTGGCGCCAATCGTGGGGCTAAGGATAATAGTGATTGCCTAGTATTAATCCTCATAACACACACTGTTTTTACACTTGTTCTCGTAAGTGTCTTTGATTTCAGGAGTCAACATGTCAAACTCACAAGCAATGCCCACTCACACAGACACCGGCCTTGGTCTTCATGGTGAGAACGAGCACATAGTCGCCCCAGGAAACGGAGTACCTCCAATCAATCCCGATGGACCACAGGCCGTAGATCCGGTCGGTGTCAATTCTCGTGTTGCGATTCATGGAAATTTAGGCGCCGACCTTGAAAATAGCATCCGCAGAGACGCCCGGGTAGCCGATCAGAATGCACTGAGTGATGAAGAAGGCGGGATTAGCCTTCGAATGATATTTAAAATGTTGTAGATTCAGCAAGCTGCATAGCGCAGTTCTAAAATCAGAATCAAGCACCAAGCAGAATCGAACTAGATGCATCATAGGAAGTTATTCACAGGGTCGAGCCTATACCGGAAAATCGAGCGATAAAGGATCGGGAACTGACCCCGCCATCATGAAAATGCTCGAGGAGCTCACTAAACGGATCGAATCAGGAGAAAAGAAAATTGAGGCTAACGATAAAAAGGTAGAAACATACAACTCACGGGTTGATCAAATACCTGGGGCACCCCCGATTTTAAACGGTTTGGATTCAAAGGAGTTCGTACAGAAGCCTTTCCCACCAAGTACAGCTCCGAAGCCCATTCCAGAGAAATTCCGCATGCTAGAAATTCCCAAGTGCAATGGAACCACTAATCCTAATGAGCATGTCACTTCTTATACATGTGCAATAAAAGGAAATGACTTAGAAGATGATTAAATTGAATTTGTTCTGTTGAAAATTTTTGGAGAAACTTTATCGAATGGGGCAATGATATGGTACCATAATTTGCCGCCCAATTCCATTGATTCCTTCGCCATGCTTATTGATTCGTTCGTAAAGGCACACGCTGGAGCAATAAAGGTTGCAACTAGGAAATCGGACCTCTTCAAAGTGAGACAAAAGGACAACGAAATGCTAGGGGAATTCGTATCTCGGTTCCAGATGGAACACATGGACCTGCCCCCGGTCACTGATGATTGGGCTGTCCAAGCCTTCACCCAAGGTTTGAACGAGCGAAGTTCGATAGCATCACGACAACTTAAACAGAATTTGATTGAATATCTAGCTGTGACCTAGACCGGTGTACATAACCGATACCATTCAAATATCAGAGTCGAGGATGATCAGATAGGAGCCCCTTCCGGTTCCGTTTATCCAAATAGATCCGAAGACAGGATTCAAATAGACATCGACAGAGAGCCCCGATCAAACAGAGACTAGTACCAACCATACAGCACAAATCGTAGTAACAGTGGACTAGGACGTAATCCCGTTCGGAATGATCGAAGGAATGATCGAGGACAAAACTCCCGAGGGCTCATGAGTAAGAGTGGCCTCGATAAACATGTCGAGCCCAAGGAAGTGCCACGGTTATCAGAATACAACTTCAGCATCGATGCATCGGGTATTGTATCAGCCATTGGACGGATCAAAGATACTAGATGGCCTAGACCCTTACAGTCCGACCCGGCTCAAAGAAACCCTAATAAAATATGCAAATACCATGAAACCCATGGTCACAAAATCGAAGACTGCAGGCAATTAAGGGAGGAGGTAGCTCGTTTATTCAACGAAGGTCATCTTCGAGAGTTCTTGAGTGACCGAGCTAAAAATCATTTCAGAGACAGGGATACAAACAGGAAAAACGAGCAGGAAGAACCGCAGCACGTGATTCATATGATCGTTAGTGGGGTCGATATTCCTCAAGGCCTGATATATAAACGCGCCAAAGTTACAATCACAAGGGAGAAGCGTACCCGGGACTACTTACCAGAAGATACCTTATCTTTCAACGATGAGAATGCAAAAGGGATCGAACAGCCTCACAACGACGCACTGGTAATATCTATCCTTATGAATAAAATTCAAGTTAAATGTGTGTTGGTTGATGCAAGTAGCTCGGCAGATATTATTTGATCGAGGGTCGTAGAGCAACTCGGCCTCCAGGATCAAATCATGCCTGCAGCTCGAGTACTCAACGGCTTCAACATGGCGAGTGAAACCACCAAAGGGGAAATCATTTTGCCAGTAAACGTGGCCGGAACTATCTAGGAGACGAAGTTCCATGTAATCGAAGGTGATATGAGGTACAATGCGCTGCTCGAAAGACCTTGGATCCATAATATGAGGGCAGTACCTTCAACGCTTCATTAAGTCTTGAAATTCCCAACACCGGAAGGAATTAGAACGATGTACGGCGAACAACCAGTAGCCAAAGAGATGTTTGCAATTGATGAGGTAATACCAGTATCGACACTAACGTCGACAAAGGGACCAGAGTCAAAGGAAAAGCAGGAAGTCAAATAGCAACCACAGTCGCCGGCCTCGACCAGATCGGAACAACAGGAAACTTTCGAGGATGATGATTATATGATACCTCGAACCTTCATAATCCCGGATGATTCCGATGCCACGAAGTCAACGGTTGAAGAGCTGGAACAAGTCATACTGATCGAGCACCTGCCCGATCGAAAGGTATACCTGGGCACGGGGTTAACTCCCAAGCTTAGGGAAAAACTCATAAAATTCCTTATTGAAAATATGGATTGTTTTGCTTGGTCCCACCTTGACATGACATGGATCCCACCAGAGATTACCACTTATCGATTGAGCTTGGACCCAAAGTTCAGACCGGTAAAGCAAAAGAGAAGGCCACAATCCGAGGTAAAGCATACATTTATAAACTTCTCAAAATAGGATCCATCCAGGAAGTAAAATATCTCGAATGGTTAGCAA